CACACACACACCCACACACACACACACACACACACACACACACACACACACACACAATAACAAAAGTTCCCCCTCATGTTGGCCACGTGAGCCGGTGCGCGCGCCCTTTTGCACACACACACACTTCAATGCACTTGCATGCACACACGCGGTTAAAAAAAAAATGTTAGTGAGGAGAAAGGGAGCAAAATGGAAACGTCCAGCCCCTCAAAGTCGTTTACCTCACCGCGCAGCTCTGCCAAGGAATGCTTTCTTTAGTCTTTCTGAATTCTTCCCACAACCAGAAATAGCCAAAATTCAGAGGGGAGTGTAAGGAAAGAGGGAGGAAGAGGGGGAGGTGGAGGAGGGGTGTAAACAATTAACTGAGTCAGGGTTTCACCAAAAACATTTTTGTTCTCCTTTTTTTTTTCTTATGAATCAACTTCAAGCTGTTTTTTAGGGGGTTTGCTTTTGGCATTTTACCCAAACATGTAAAGACGCCTAAAAACAAAGGGGATTGTCCAGCGAGGCAACAGCTGGAGGGAACAATTCAACCACACGCCATTAACTTCCTGTCAAAGGAAACCTGGCGTGTGTGGCGCTTTACATTTGGGTTCAGTGGGAGTCTTTGAATCTCAGATAACATGTTCCTGATGTAACTTGTTCAGACTGTAAAGAAAATAGATAACGTTTCCCAGATGTACATACATTTTCAGCATTTATTTCAAAAGAAACTATGATCTATTAACATCTCAGATAACGTTTTCCAGATTCAATTGAAACACTTTTATTGTAAAGAAAACTACTTAATGATCTGTAAAACAATTACAAAAGTAATAAAAAGTCAATCATAGTTCCTCCTGGCCTTGTTAATGCTAGCATGACCACCTCTTAAACCTGCAATATGTTATAAAAGGTAGAAACTTTCATTCATCTTTTCTCCTCAACAGGTTATCTGATATTCTTCTCCTCCGCCTGTAGGAGTCACTCAGATCCTTTTTTTGTATGTTCACTCTTATTATATCGAAAATACTTTCACACGTCTCCATTTTGGGCTGAGATATGAACGCGTTGCTGCTGCAGGGGTAATAAGGGGGCTACTTGCATGGGACCCCATTGTGGAGAGCCGGGCCAGATTGGGAGGTGAAGTCGCGCAGGAGGAGGAGGGGTGACCATTTGCATGTTATTACCATAGCATGTGTCAGGCCGTATATAACAGGCTGCAGGCGGCCTCGGCTGGAGACAGACGCACAGTTCACAGTGAGGAAAGACATTAGGGGGGAGAAGGAAGCATGTTGGACCAGTGACAAATCTGTCCTTGGGTTAGACACAAACAAAGCTACTTCCTTCAGTCACTTTCTTAAGAAAACAAAAACAAGGAACCCATCTTTTCCCCCCTCTTTACGAACTGGATTATAACGGAACTGGAGGACTTCTCTGACGCACACACATCTTGTTTTGTGGCTTTTTTCTATTTTTCGCTTTTTCAAGGTTTGGGATTTATCCTTTTTGTTCCTCGGGACATGAATGAGAGTGGAGGGGAGAGAAAACCCCATTGAGGCAACAGAAACGTGCTCAATGCATCTTCCTCAGAGGGACTGAAGAGGAGCAGGCACCCTGAGGACAAGCCGAGCCCGAGACTTTTTATTTTATTTATTTATTATTTATTATGTATTTATTTAAAATGCGGCGCGTCAGCCTGCTGACTCTCACCGTCATGTCCATGTTGCTGTGCCAGGTAAGACACACATTCTCTATTTCAAAATCAATTAACCCCCCTTCCCTTCCCCTCCCACCACAACACACACACACGCTGGCGGTACTGTGTGTGTTTAGTTAATGAAAATAACTTTCCTCCACAGGGGTTATGTTCGGGAGTTTTTGAGCTGAAGTTGCAGGAGTTCCTAAACAAGAAGGGAATACAGGGCAACAAAAACTGCTGTAAAGGAGGCCTGATGTCGTCCTTCCAGCAGCAGTGCGATTGTAAAACCTTCTTCAGGATTTGTCTCAAGCACTACCAGCCCAACGCCACCCCGGAGCCTCCGTGCACATACGGCGGCGCTGTGACGCCTGTTCTGGGCTCCAACTCCTTCCAGGTCCCCGATGTCATCCCGGAGAGCTCGTTCTCAAACCCCGTCAGGATTAACTTCGGCTTCACGTGGCCTGTAAGTACACCCATTCATGTCAGATACAGTAGAAGTGAAGGTAGCGAAATCGCGCCATTTTTGGGGGTAAATCCGTGCGTAAAAACGCGCCTCAGCACTTTGTCTGACATCCACTTTAAGGGCTGAAAGTTGTCCAGGTGTTTAGTTTCAGCGGATTCAGTGAGTGTATAAGGCACAATCGCCTCGGGCTTTCTTCCTGATGTTATCTCCGCTGGCCACCTGTCTCATGAAGCCATTTGTGTTCCCAGGGGACCTTCTCGCTGATCATTGAGGCATTACACACCGACTCCAAAGACGACCTCATGACAGGTAGGAAAAAAACACCACTACACTCAATTTTTTACCACATTCAAACAATTTGTATCCCTTAATCCTCACTTTCTGCATCCACATGTGCATTTTAGATATTCCAGACCGCGTTATCAGCACCATGACCACTCAGAGGCACCTGACTGTGGGAGAGGTATGGTCCCAGGATCTGCACACCGTAGGCAAGACGGAGCTAAAGTACTCGTACCGGTTCGTGTGTGATGAGCACTACTACGGGGACGGGTGCTCAGTTTTCTGCCGGCCCAGAGACGATGCTTTCGGCCACTTCACCTGTGGAGAGCGGGGGGAGATAGTGTGCGACTCCGGGTGGAAGGGACACTACTGCACTGAACGTGAGTAACTCTGATATCGTATTGGGAGCAGTGTGTGTGCGTGCGTGTGTGTGGTGAATGATGAGACAACCTCTTTTAAAACACACACCAAAGAAAAAGGATGCAGAGGATATTTTGTGAGATAAAACACCCAGTAGTGGTTTAAAACTGGTTATAAAGAGAGTAAAAGTAATGCATTGTGGTTTTAAGAACATATACAAAGTTCGTTTATTGTTTCTATTTCTATAATATTATTAGGAGCATATGTGAGGTGTGTGAGATGCTGGATCTTAACATATATTTTAAACCAAACACACACACAATGGATACAGAGGATATTGTTGGGTTAAAACACCATTACACTACTTTAAACTTAATACAAGTTAAGTATCTTTCTTTGTGGAAAACGTATAAAAAGTTAATTTCTACGTTGGGTCTGTAATCAGATCCTCTGAGTGCCGTTAGAAGGCAACTTGTGCGTAAACACCACGCGCACCCCCTCCTCCGCCCTCACACACACACACGACCACTTGATTTATTCTAAGGAAAGTTTTTGGGAATAATCTCACGCGTGCCATAAATGTACACGCTCCCTTCCAATTGGTTACTGTGGGAGTGGGCCGGGCGCTGATTGGCCGGGGCGGGGGAGGTATTGTTTGAAGTGGGCAGCTGCCGGCAGAGAGGAGACAATGGAGCAGCTGTCGCGCACTGGCAACACACTCGCCAGCTGTCCACTCTTATCTGCCCCAATCCGAGACATTAAGGGGTGTGTGTGTGTGTGTGTGTGTGTGTGTGTGTGTGTGTGTGTGTGTGTGTGTGTGTGTGTGTGTGTGTGTGTGTGTGTGTGTGTGTGTGTGTGTGAAAGAGAGAGTGTGTGTGTA